TCTCTTGTTCCCCAAGGTCATCCAAACATTTCAGGTGGAGATTATCCTGGGGACAGAAAATGCTTCTAAATATTGCCAAAATACACCTCTGATCCTTATCTCCAAGATCAGGGGAAACAAGAACCAGAGATTTTACACTGTTTTTAAAATCTATGAGAACTCAAGATTACTCATATTGACACTTACGATATCTGAAATGAAAATGTATGAATGAACATTCACTGAGGTTGTGTTACTGTAATCTATCAGGGAAAATAACTTTGCTGCACTACATTATCCGCTCATAGGATGGGCACAAGTGTGGACAGCATGTAGGTCTAATGGAGAAGATTGGTAGATTCACAGTGTGGCTGTGGTAACTTGTACTGTAAGTGTGGATGGGACACATATTTTAGAAGTTGAATTAATAGACAAAACAGTAAACGTTTGTATCATGATACAGGAACAGACAGCCTAAACGATTTTAAAGCAATCTATCAAAGATGCTTTAATAGCTCATTGGTCTTTCAAGTCCATAAAACACATTATTTTAGAACTTTTCTTTTAGTCCAAGTTATTGTGGAATCCACTGTTTCCAAAGCTAAAATGAATAAATCTTCATTTATTCATAGTGAGATTATTATTCTTTTAGATACTGTTCTTATACAGTGCCTGAACAATGACAGCTATAAGAATAATTTTGAAATATTATATTTTTTTCTATAGGACTAGTACCACTGTAACAGCCTTCTCCTGCCAGGTGTCTCTATCATCTTCCTGTGTGGTCATTGGGGAAAATGGAATTGCAGTCTAATTTTTCTAGAGGACATTTAGTGGGGAAGGCTGTAAACTAACCAATTGCCCTCATATTATAGCTATATCCTTGATATCCCTAAAAGGTAGGGATGTTATGCAGAACATGAATCCTGGAGCTCTTCCCAACACTTAATAATAGCTGTGCTGTGATTCAATTGACCCCTGGTGGAAGAGAAAGTGGGTTTACAGTAGAGGACTTAGTAAGATTTTTATCCAATCTTTCATAGGGAAGCTTTAGCCTGGATTTTTTTTTCTTTGATTAGATATGACCCATTTTTTGTATTCAAACTCTCTCTTCTCAGCTTTTATGCCCCCTCATTCTGTTCGGGTTTTGGAAAGTTATGTTTTGGATAGAGTTCTGATTTATTTATTACATATTTTCTGTCCAAACTTTCTTTTTGCTTATGATATATTATATGTGCTAGGGTTATGGTGAGCTGAGGTGGTGCAGTGATTAGACTGCAGTACTGCAGGCTACTTCAGCTGACTGCTAGCTGCAGTTCAGCAGTTCAAATCCCACCAGACTCAAGGTTGACACAGCCTTCCATCCTTCTGAGGTCAGTAAAATGGGGATGGATACTGTGGGGGTGATATGCTGACTCTGTAAACTGTTTAGAGAGGGCTGTAAAAGCACTATGAAATGGTGTATAAGTCTAAGTGCTATTGCTATTGCTGTGATGGTGATATGAATCCTGGAGCTCTTCCCAACACTTAATAATAGTTGTGCTATAGAATCAGTAAGGAAACAACAGAAATATTCTGTTAAACCTTCACTTGTAGTCTTAGTCCTAGGAGTACATTCAATCTATAGAAATGTACATATACCCAATATTTACTTACATTTGATTTTTTAACCCCATTTTCTCATATATAACAGAACTCATGTTAACACATATACTGTTAACATACAATATATCCAAATGTAAAATACAAAGTTATCTAGTGTAATCTAAATCTTGTTTTTATTCCCGTACTTATTGCTTCTGATCTGTTGTATTTGTTCCTCCTGCTGTAGTATTCTCTAGACACATCTCTTTGAAATGTGAATTTTTGTTTATCTCTCAAGTTAGTTCAGATCAGCTCTCTACAGAACCATATTCAGAAGCCCATCTGTAATGATTCTGCACTTTCCCCCATGTACAGCAGACCAATATCAGTTTTGTCTTGAAGATAATTTCATCGGATAAGGAGACACTGGTTAAACCACCAATTAGTGAGTTGGGATAAATTAATGAAAACAGGAATATTAAGAGATAAGGTGTATCTGTAAAATTAACTTCATACTATAGCTCCCTAACAGTTTACACAGATTGTACAAAGTGGCTGTTCAGGATTCCTACTCAGACTGATAAGGAACGCATGTCCCAAATGCAAAATATTCCGAACAGTGAGAGCAGAAATGAAACCCAGAAGAGCCTATGAGTAACATGGATGAGACATTAAAAGCCCCAAGTCACTGTCTATCCATGCAGAGATAAGAAGCCTACCTCATGTTATGTTAGTTGTTTTGGGCAGGCTTTGGTTGACCAATACCGCAGCAGTGACTCAGGGCTGAGCGATCACTTCCTTTCCTAGTTTTTTGTTTGTTTGATAGATATCTAAGTTGATCTGTTGAGTCTTGCCTGGGTTTATGTCATCAGATTGAGCTGTTTACTTAATAGCAGAATTCCTGAGGGTATTCCTTTCTTAAAATGGATAGCTATCTTTGAGTATTTCTTTTTCTGCCAATCCAAGAGAGTTAATGGTTGAAAATACAGGAATTATCTTGAAAACCAATAGAACTACTGTATGTGTTGTTATAATTTTGCAGCTTTTGCAATTGTTCTTTCCTTAGGTCAGTACTGCTGGAAGAGTTGTGTGTACTAAAATTGCAAACTTGTGAATATATTGATTTACAAAGGTGCTTCATTGAAATCAATGACTTTACCAAAGAAATATTTTTAAAGCAGTATTCTACCATAAACACTGAGAGATAAACTTTTATCATATTTCTTCATTTTTATTGTTAAAATAATACTGCTATGATCACTTTTAAAGTGATCTCACATTAACTACTTATAATACTTGGCAGTTATTTAGGCCTTTGGAGCAGTCAAAATATTACACATGGATCATCTCACAAGAAATCTAGAAGGGAGACCAATATCTTTATCTATCTTTGGAGAAGGTTCTTTGCCCAAGTGACTTTTTGTGTTCTCTGACAGAGCAAGATTTGAACTGTAGACTTCATATTTCAGTTTCTTTGTCACTAGGACACCTGCAGTTCTTACTATATGTGGAATATTTGTTGGACAATTACTGGTAGTGACTTCTATTTTTATTATCAGTAACCAATGGCCTATTTTCAACTGAAAGTCCTGCTTATTACCGGTTAACATCTAACAGTATGGAACCAAGTTGTTTCATGAATCTTCTCCTTCTGCAGGAATCTGCCAACCACTGAGCTCAACAGGAGAGTCTTTTCTGAATATTGTTGTTCTGAGTGGAATATGGACTTTATGACCACTGAGAAGTATCTTCTGGCCCTTTCTTAAATGATTTAATTGATTTTCTGTCATTGGTTTTGTTTTGCTTGGCATTTACTTATCTTTTGAATCATTTTCTTTGTTGATTCTGAATTTATTTAAGCATCACTGCATTTAAATCGCCTTTTTAAATAAAATGTTTAACAGTAGCTGCTTCGAGACAGTATAAAGCAACATATAAATTATTAAATGAATGAATGAATGAGCCACCTGATTCCGCACACACAATATCTGCAAACCACTGTTCATAGGCTTACTGATAATTTCCATATAGCTGACGAGAAGGGGAACTGTGGATTAGTGCAGACTGTACATTGCTCCTTGCTCCTCCTACTTTTCCCATAACAACAACCCTGTGAGGTGGGTTGGGGTGACAGAGAGTGACAGGCCCAAAGTTACCTAGTTGGCTTTGGTGGCTATAAGACTGAACTTGAATTCACCATCTCCTGCTTTCTAGCCTGGTGCCTTAATCACTAAACCAGATGTCAGCAACCTTAACCACTCAAAGAGCCACAAAGGTCCTAACCGGAAACCCCCACCCCACTCCCCTCATTTAATTCTGGAGCCAACCGGAAGTCTGGTTCCCCCACCATAGAGTCTCTTCCTAGCATGTCATCCTTTTTCCTCTACCTGTCCTAACTGAAAGCCCTATCAATTGTGGAGCCCAGTTGCAGCAGAGTGATGAAAAAGCCACACATGGCTCCAGACCTGTGGGTTGCTGACCCCTGCACTAAACCAAACCGACTCCATCATTGAGCCTTTCATACATAGCTGTAAGACATTGGTAGGCATGTAAAACATTATTTGAATTTGCATCAAGATAAATGCATCAAGATTAGATCGGATCCATCCGATCTAAGAAATATAAGAAGGAACCATAACACACTATATATGGAAAGGTATTGGTTTCCAGTAAGGCGAATGGATATTCTGAAGGTGGCCTAAGTTACATTAAACAGAGCTTACTTGCTTCCAAGATTCTTTATTGGAAAGGGCCCTTTGCTACTGGAAGGGGTGGAAGATAACACAGAGGAGGCCCTAAATGCCCTCAGGGCACAAGCCTGTTTTGCAAGGCTTGCTTCTCCGGACGACATCCCGTTCACCGCGTACGCCCGATGAACATTCGCCGAGCCCCCTCCTCTTGCAGCGAAGCCTTTCTACCGCAGGCAGCTAGCTCTGGTTAGTGCGCGCGCACGCGTACTTATTCCTATGTGGACACACACGCGCACACCCCCTCACGCACAATTACCCACGCCTCCTTTTCGCAGAACCAAAAATAGCCTCGCGCGCGTATTGCGCCCCCCACCCCACTCCATTCTCTTTCTCTTGCGAGCCAGTCAGGAGCATCTTGCGGGCGGGCAGGAAAGGCCTTTTTGTGTGTGTGTGTGTGTGCGTGTGCGTGTGTGTGCGCGCGCGTGTGTGCCTTAGTCCTCTTCCTTCTCTCCGGCGGCGCTGGAAGAGAGAGGGGAGAGGGAGAGAAAGGAGGAGCCGTGCGCTCTTGCGCCTCTGTGAGCGCGCTGGGGCGGGGAAGGTGGCACCGGCTGCTTTGATAGCGTGTCTCTTTTTCTGTTTTATCCTACCACCACCTCTTCCTCCTCCCGTCTTTCCTCTCTTTCGCCTTCCTCCCCACCCGTTTTCTTCCTCCTTCCCGTTCCTCCCCTTCTTTCATTCTTTCTTCTCCCTCCGTGCTTCAGAAGCTGGGCTTTTAAATGGTTTCCTCGCGGCGGGCGGGAAGAAGATGCTCGGTAGCAGCGGCGGAGGAGGCAACCACCACGTCAGGAGTCTGCAGCAGGACGCGGAGCTGAACGGCGAGGAAGGGCCAGAGGAACTGAAGGGCTTCAAGAAGGCGGCGTCCGAGGGGAGCAAGGCCATGATGCAGAAGCGCGCCAACCCCAAAGGCCCGGCCGGGATGGCGCCCAAGACGGCTGAGCTGAAGGTCTTCAAGTCGGACAGCTTGGAGGCTCGCCTGCCGGTGGCCTCGAACCTACGCAAGCAGAAGTCCCTCACCAACTTGTCCTTCCTGACCGACAGCGAGAAGAAGATGCAGCTCTACGAGCCCAAGTGGAGCGACGACATGGCCAAGGCGGCCAAAGGGTTCGGGGGCCGCAGCCTTAAAGGCGGCAAGCCCGCGCCCTCGCTCATGTCCAAGAACCTCTCCCGGTCCGAGCACTCGCTCTTTCAGGCGAAGTTGGCCCCTGCCACCAGCAACAAACCGCCGCTGGCGCCGCTGCCCTCCAACCTGGGCAAGCCCAGCCGCATCCCGCGGGGACCTTATGCCGAAGTCAAACCGCTCAGCAAAGCCCCCGAGGCTGGCAGTGTCGACGACCCCAAGTCGGACGACGAGATCCTCTCCAATAAGGGCAAGACGGCGCAGCAGAAGCAGCCCCAGCAGCCGCCACAGACGGCCACTCAGCCGGCCGGGAAAGGGGCACCGGAGGAGAAGGCTTTCCTGAAGGTGGATCCCGAACTGGTAGTCACCGTGCTGGGCGACCTGGAGCAGCTGCTCTTCAGCCAGATGCTCGGTGAGTCAGCCCGTCCCCTTCCTTCCTGTGGGAATCTGCCTTGCTGGTGAAGGTTATGGGGGTTTTTGAGCAAGGGAGTCATCGCTCCTTTGGAAGGCAGGCTGTATGGGGGAGCCTGCGAGGCTTCGGATGTGAACTCCCCATTGATTTCGTCCCATTGGTATACACCCGAAGCTGTTTAGTGCCTGGTGGCATTGAGCCTTTCAGGGAGCAGGGGACGTTGAAGCTTAGAAAGAGCAAGTAACACTCCAAAGAAAGGGATATCCTGAGTATGCCATTTCAGTTTGGTCATTTTCCAGCTGTCAGCATTCTTGGCGGGTTTCCTGCCATCTTCATTATGCATTCATTCTTGTTTTGTTCCTCGAGAGTGGATGCTTGCTCTTTTTTCCAGGGGAAAGTAGAATCATTTCTAACCTGACCTCATTAGCATGTTTGGGCTAAAATGTTTTTGGTTTTAAGGCAAAAAATGTAAAACAGGTAGCCGAAATGGCTGTAAAGAATAAGAATTATTTTGA